GAGGTTGGGAATCCTTGCTGATTGGGTTAAATCCCCAGTCTAGTCTCCTTGTTCAGGAGTTCAATGCGAACATCCATGACATTAGTGGTTCGTCCTTAAGTGTTCTTTTGGGGTCAGACACTTAGGATTTCACCAGATGTTATTTCCAGTCCGTACATGTTTCCCAAGTCATTCACTCCGTTTACCCATATCTCTCAGTTGATTCTATTCCAGCTGACTCTCTGGTTCTTTCCACCCTGTTTAATAGTCCATTGGGAGGTGGGCCTGAGGCGATCTGCACTAGTTCGCTCCCCACTGATCGACAGATTTTGTTACGCATTGTGTGCACGAATTTATGGCCCGTTTCTCACACTTCTTCCCTGCCTATAGAGAAGGCGAGATTTCTTTTTGCTTTGCTATATGGGGATTCGATTGACCTACCCACTTTCATTTGCCAGCACATTCTGCGTACTTTTCGATTTTTTGATCATCAGATTGGTCTTCCCTATGCTTGCTTGATCCACTGCTTGATGACATCACTTGGGGCTTCATTTCCCAATGGGGTGTCACGAAGAGCTCTTCATCCCATAGGGCACACTATCATCTCTCAGAGTAGGTCACTGTCACTTCTTCTGCTTCTGTATTTGTTCTTGCTGAGCCAGCTGAGCTTGTCGACCCGATAGTGCCCGCTGATCCTTTAGGTAATTTACTTGTTAATCTCTCAGCTATTCCTCCACCTCCTTCAGATGTTCCTTCGTCTACTTCAGATATTCCCTCTTCTTCCACTTCTGTTCCACTACCCACCCCGCCTGCTCCGGCTACTATTCTTGTTGACCCCACTGTTGTGCTTATGGGTCAGATGTCGATTCTCATTGAGCAGAAGGCCCGCATGATGGCCGACATTACTCAGTTACGAGCTGCTTTCGAGCATCATACTGTGGAGTTTGCTACATTCTTTTACTTTTTTTAGCGCGGTATTCGGTGGATGCGCGAGCACTGGGATTATGAGTCTGAGGCTGACAATTCTGAGGACGTGGATGACGGAGATGATGATCATGCTTAGTTGTTTAGGATTCCCCTTGCCATTTGTGACAAAAAAGGGGAGTAGCATTGTGATAATTTTTGGGATTTGTAATGATAAAGTACTTTGATAATGTACTATTGCTATTTTTAGCTAGATTGAGTTTTGATGTTTTTGCATTATTAATGTATGTTTTTGGTGAATTGACATACATTGATACTGTATCTTAATCTAGTATATTGGTACAATGTTATGGCTATTCATGACTTTTTATCTTTTATGTTAACTTATATTACCGTTTCTTGTGCTTTTACACTGGGTATGTGAGTTGTGATTTCAAAAAACAAGTTGAAAGAAGACAAGGCAACTGTGAGTTGAGTCAGTGTATTAGATTGTCACTGTAGTTCATGCTATTGTAATTTGGTTTTGTCATAGAATGTCAAAGGGAGAGTTTGTTAGATTTCATGTTAGCTATTCAGTGAATAAAAGGGTAAAATTGTAAATGTTTAAAAGTTTGAGGTCAATTTGTCAATGTTTAAAGGTTAAGGGTCATTTTGTACATGTGTAAAAGATGAGGGACTAAGTTGTAATTTCGTCAAAGTATGCTAGGGTTCAAGCTATAAAGTAGGGCAAGATATGTCGTTGAAGTTTCACTAGCTGCTCGCCAAGTGGTCGCTCGAGCGACAAAAACAGAAAGGTCGTCGCTCGCTTCTTGCCCCCACTTCGCTCGAACGAAACAACGTCGCTCGCTTTTCGTTCGAGCGACGGTACTACCCATAAAACCATATTTTCCTTTTTCGACATTTTAACCTGACCCAAATGTCCAAATACACTTTATATAAATAAAATTCAGCCAGTTTTCAAACGTTCTCTCAAGAATTGAAATTGAAGAAAACTCTCCACACTTTGATTCTCTCATTCAATCCTATATTTGATTCGCGTAATCACCCAAAAACATCAAATCAACATTCATCAAACACCACAACACAATCTTCAAGATCCTTTGTTGATTTTTGGAGATCGAGGAAGGAGATCGGAGTCTCGATCATTAGAGAACAGGCGATTCTCTTAAATCCACAGGAGATAGATGAAATCAAGAGCCGAGAATCGGTGTAACACGCAATCCAGGAGGGCTAGGAGCCGGGAGTTGGTGCAGGATCACGCATTCCAGGAAGACTTTTAGGAAATTACAGTCAGGAGGTCAGAAAAATCAGTGTGGGTTGAGTCTGGCAGATTGTAAGTTGCATTTTCGTTTATAGTAGATTTCTACTGGCTTGGGCCCAGAGTTTTACCCACATTGGGGTTTCTCCATCATCAAACAATTGTATTATTTACTTTTCTGCAATTAATTTATTATCGGTATTCAAACATAGGATAATAAAGCATATGAACTGATATGGACAAATTAATATTTGTGACGTGTTGCAATTATTAATTGATTGAAAAAGAAAATTTCGCATAAACACCTATTCACCCCCCTCTAGGTGTTGATTGGGTCGAACTACGATATTTCAAATTTCTTGATCACAATTGAATATATGGTTGTTTATTTTAGTCCTAAGAGGCTCACAATAGGTCTAGAACACTACTTGATTAACATATGTGCAATAAATGTTAGGAATAATATGTATCGCATATACACTTTTTGAGATAATCGTGAAACTAAATGCGTTCAATTCATTTGAATTTGAACTAGAAATATATTTGAATCATGACTAGAATAGATTTAATTCATCTTGAAAAAGAGAATTAATTACAATAAATTTATCGATCGTTAAAAATGTATGAATGAAACTAGCCACGTAATTGAGAACTGAAATAGGTAATAATATGTGGATTCGTAATTCGATAGTCTCATTCCATACAAATACATAACTCGAATTTACAAGTTTTCGTAGGTTAATTTAGAATAATTACAAACCACCAATCTCTTTTGTTTGCTTGTTGGACGATACACGTTACTCATTCGTATTATTTGTCAACGATTTCGTACACTCGCAGGATTTTACCGAACAATTTACATAAAAATTCTCAAATGTTGGCGGTTGCTAACTTCTTCCCTATGTCCCTAAGAATTCATTATAATCCATCCAAGAAAGGTTATAAAAGCATAATATTTGTCAGGATCAAAGGGTAAGGGTAGATTTAAGACATTTAAACCTAAGGATAACTTATACAAAGCATTTTATAATTTATACCGCCTGTGATGACTTTTAATAATTAAAACCACAGAAATTTTTATTTTAAAGTCTCAAATATTTCGTGTTTCAAGATTCCAGAAAGTGAGATGAGAGTGAAATCAAAGAAGAGAAATTTTGAAAGCGCTTATTTAATCCATTAGTGATGAGAAGAAGATTTCCAATGTCGTTTATTGGTCACAGGATAGTGATGGATAGAAGAAGGTTGACACAAATTGTCCTTTTTTTTTCAATGCATGAATGTAATCATATTAAATCCTGATGGTTTATGATAAGAATAGAAACATCTACCTAACTAGCTAGCTGTATATATCATCTGTCACAATAAGTTGACTCTTAAGGCTTAAAAATAAATGTAGTAGAGACTTTAAGAGTCATGGTTCTTATAACAATCATTTTCTCAATTATGTCAACTGATTGTAACAAACCTTGACCTTGCCTTACCAAACAAAGTTTATGGAAGAAAAGTCATGACTTAGCAGTATCTAGTGTAAACTATGCATCCATAATCTGATACTTTCTAGATTATTTGGTTAGACTACACATTAATCCGCAGTCATAAAACAAATTATCAACTTCAAAAAGAGTAGTAGTCCAAATTTTATATGTTAGTATTTCTATAAGGGAATTTACCCTGAACTTTCCTAGTAAGATGGTGGTTCATTTGAACTTCTAGACGGATTCAATGACTCGTTTGAGCATGCGGGCTCTAATACCATATAAATAGAAGAGCAGAGAAGTGAACAGTTTCGTGCAACATTTATTGTTATCATGAAGAACCTGCTGCTTAACTTGCATTTAAGCAACTTGTAACTATCCAACTCCAATTTGCAAAATATTAGATAAATTAGTAAATCATTGCACAAGCACTTAGATTTTCTAACTCCATTATGTTTTTGGGAACAAACAGAAACCTAATCAAATGAATATGGAAAATAAAAATATTATGACATTAAAAGATAGTCATATAATAGTACCTTATGGGTTAGGATTTCGTACTTATTAATGCCGAGCTAACAATTTCTAGGAAGAACAGAAATCCTTTACTGGCATGCATGTTTTGAGGATTGAAAACTAACAAAAAATCATAATTATATTGGTCAGGGGAAAAGTAGTTCCGTTTCTTTTGTATGTATATCGAATATTTGATGATTATAGTCTAGAATGCAGCAAGAAACAATTTAGGACTTCTTACCTTCATCATCACACTAAACTTCCAATGATATTCTTCATAACTAGGCATCAAATATAGCACAAGTTCTCATATATTGGGTTTGAATTTCATGAACTTAAGGGTTTGGATGTCACCAACATGTGCAGCCTAAGATTGCACTCGCTATATGACCAAATAATAAGAGGTTTTTGACGAAGCTATTGATACTATTAAATGAATTCTCCTAGAAATTTTCATTTGGAGAAAACAAGAATTCCTAGCTAGGGCTCAATACCCAGAGCTTCTCCTAATTCTCCTAATATATATCTTACGGTTTTGTAGGGATTTAACATTAACAAAAATATTTGTGTGTCTAGGGTTTCATTTAAACAAGTTAACTTTTTCTTATCTTAAAAATATTAAGGTGAGTCCAACTGTTTGTAATACTGATTTTAGTTAGTGTCATAGCCTTCTTGAATTTTAGGACCAGACCGTTAGTGCCTCACAAAATCAACTGCTATGCATCTAGTAATACACACAATACCTAATTATGCCTAACCCTACTGGAAGTCTATACTAATAACGGTTAATATACAGTATTGTGTAGGTTTTCATTCGCTAATTCTGACAATATGTTAAATTTCTCTTGCATTAAGACAGTAGACTGAAGATCTAAAGTGGAAAGATTATATTAGGTACGTGTTCGACTTTAAAATGTCAACCTTATTAAAAAGGATAGCCCAAGTCCTTATAAATTGATTTATATTTTCGTCTTTATTTAATATGTATTCCCACAAGATGGTGACTCATTTGAACAAATCAATCTTGAAATCTGTATTCTCATTACATACATAGAAGATTTAAAATTTAAACCAACTGCTACTAATCTCGTACACTATATTAATTCAAGAAGACTCGTCCATTCAAAATTAAAATGTGTCTATTTGTTGAGTGGGGTTCAGATGCCACCTAAAATCTACGGGGCCTCGATTGACTGTAATCACGTCTGCTCGTATACATATATTTAATTAGGAATGCTGATGGCAATAAAATAATGTAGAAACTCAGGAAAATACTTTAATAGCTAAAGCCCAGAAAGTTGCGTCCAAAATGTCAAGGAATCGACTGTACTAGACTCAGAATTGCATTGGATTCGAGGAACCTGGTGGCACTTATTTTGTGAATATTAAAGCAATATCAATCAGAATACATACCTCTTATCAAGCAAAAAATTCAGCAATAATGGCAATTCAGTGCAAGCTTGCACTCGAAAAGCTTGATCAGTTGACGAACCAAATCTGCATTGACTAGTGTAGAATGGAGATTCAAGATTATCAGCACTTAAAATCAACAAAAACTTAAACTCATTCTATCATAGATAGATTAACATATTGTCATACATTGGAATGATATAGTGGCTTACAACAGAAAACATATTTATCGCACTCAATATTGATCAAACAGCAGGTGAAACGAACATCATGCACAATATGCTTATTAGGGGTTTTAGTAACGAGAATCCAACACTCTCCAATGCTACAAATATACATCTTCAAATGTCAATGAGATCATCGTGCCCCGGGATACCCCATCTGATCATCAATCACGAACTTCTCTAGCACTAATCCTTGCAAAATACCTTCATAATTGGAAGCACCAGCTGGAAAAATCAGAGAATTCATCTCATCCGAATCCGTGCTTCCAGCGCCAGTACTAGTCCCACTTCTCTTATTATCCATCATATCAGCATATAAGAACTCGAGCCCTTGTAAGTTTTCTGGATTGTTATATATAACACGATCAAGTTCACTAAGCAAATTGCTTTGTCCTGGAAATATAGACATATTCACCTCGTTAATAGTGTATTGAGCTTCTGCCAGTGCTCGAGAAGGACTTGTCTTAATTACTTCCATTGAATTAACAGGTGCCAAATCATCAACAGATTGTAGGTGTACTGTTTGCACCAGTGAATTGCTGTTAGGGTACTGATATTTCATTTCTCTACCAATCTGATCATCACTAGAAAATCTCCCTCCGAGCTTTATCAACAGCTTTCTGATAGACGTGTGATCGCTAAAGCTTGACTCATCCTTTGACTGGGGTATAGGTGGCAGCAAAGGTAACTCTGGCCAGTAAGGATTCTGGTTATCTATTGTGTCTGAAATGGTCGAGATTTCCTTTCCTTTAACTGTTTCTCGCGCTTGCAAGTTCCCTCTACGAGCCAGTTTTTCTTTGCGCTGCTTCCCCAGTAGTTTCCTTTTCAGCCTTGTATTCCAGTAATTCTTTATATCATTATCAGTTCTTCCAGGCAGTTGTGCTGCAATAATAGACCACCTGTTCATAAAATTTAAGGGTAAACTTTGTTATTTATTGACATAAAGAGTGATAATCAAGCTAGATTACATCATTTTACCTGCTTCCAATACTTATATAGAGGCTGCAAATTATGTTATCTTCTTCTTCAGAAAACCCTCCATGTTTAATGTTTGGACGAAGATAATTTAGCCATCGAAGCCGACAGCTTTTTCCGCATCTCTTTAGACCTAGTACACAAGAACACATCTACTTCAATCAAATGAATGCTAAATAATTGAAGGCAAAACTTTTGTGGCTTTCTTTCCTTACCAATTTTTTGGGGCAAAGCAATCCAGTTACCCCCTGTGCCATGTTTCTCGATATATGACTTGAGCTTGACATCTTCTTCAGGCGACCATGGCCCTTTCTTCACATTAGCTTTGTCACAACAAGGAGCTCTACCCATTTCAGCCTTTTTTCCCCTTCTGCTTGAGTCTCAAGAATCTCTCTTCTCTCTAGACTATGATAGAATTAATGTGTGGGTGTGTGTGTGGGGGTGGGGGTGTGTGTGTGTGTGTGTGTGTGTGTGTGTGAGAGAGAGAGAGAGAGAGAGATTATAATAATTGGAAAAAGGATGTACACGTTTTCTGTAAACAGGAGAAAGATTATAGTATAAAAAAATATAATATGCCAGAACGGAATTCAAGGGTTTTCTTCTTGTCTTACTTCGTCTAGAATCATTTTATAGTTTAACAGACACATCAATCGCAAACTGTTGATTTCGTTGTAAATATATGCCCAAAAGTTTGAACTATTTAGCCTCTGCTTGATGATCATTATAAAGAATTTTCTTGCAAAATTAGTTTTGAAATGAGAATGAGTGGTTAAAAAATAAGAAATTTTTTTGGATTTATGTGTAAAAATTTTTATTATGAAAATGTAAGGTTGAAAAGAAAAGTTCTTTAAAAATAATTATCAAACAGGGGCTTAATGAAATAAAAATTATATCAACATTTTTATTTTTACTTTTGAATTATAAATATAAAAAATAATGACTTTCAATGTTGAACTAATTGTTATCGTTAATACTATCTAAATTTAAAAGATAATATAAAAAAAAATGAATCTTATATCCACATATTTAATTGACTTAATCATTACATCACTTATGTGATTTGGGGAAGTTTTATTTTAGTCCAATTTCTTATTTTTGGTAATTTAGATATTTTAGGACTCTATTTCAAGTTTTACTAGATTTCTAGGTATTGTAGAATTTTATTCCATTTAAACTTTATTCTAGGTTTTTAGTATAAATAGGTTTATTTTTCTACATTGTATTACAAGACTTTTGAGATTAAATTAATGGAGATTTTCTCTAGAGGCTTTATGTTTCAAAATTTATCGAACTTATCGAGATGATTTCTCATAGCGTTCAACCAATCAAAGTGAGATTCATGGGTTGTGTAATCACGGGGTCAAGGTATTCCTGTAATTGCTATGGTTTCTTGGTTCATCTATTTTTCGGGTCGATCTTTAAATTATCCGGATTAGATTCATTAAATTTTGTGATTAAGAGGTCTACATGTTCTATTGACTGTGTGGATTGTTTAATCCATTGTTTTTTTACTTAAAATCCATAAATCTTATTGTTTGGAACCGTTTTGGGTCCGATTTCATTCTTCTGCGGGTTTTGTAGTGTTCGTTGCTACGTGGGTTCACACCAACCACACATCATAACTCACATTATATGGGTATGACATTTACTGGGGACATGGCTTTATTCAATTATTATAGTCAGTAATATTAATGGGTAGCCTCTTAAAGATTGTCAGCATGACCTTAGAGGGATTGAAAAAGAGAATAATGGTGGTTGAAGCTATTGACATGAACAGGGTATGCAATGGGACTAGGGTAAAATTGGATATCAGAAAGCCTTCACAACTTGGAATTAGGGATAGTATCAATGAGGTATGTAGACGGTTGTTGTTTCAATACAATATGAACATTTGCCCAAGTTCTACATTGGAAGTTCGATTTTTTTGAAATTAGTAGCGGATTTTATGAATGACAAGAAGTGATTGTTTTGGATGGAGTGGCTAGAAATGAAAGGAGACTTAATGATGACTCTACTAGGTCATTGAGTGGTTCTTCAAGATACTCTCATCAATGGACTAAGTCGAGGTGTCATATGAGAATACTGAGAATTTTATAGAGGATAAATGGTCTATTGAATGACATCTATGGAGACAGGGAAGGAGATAAAGTACAAAGGCGCAAGGATAGATGGTTGATGAAATGAGAAATATGATGATTTCTTAAACTCGTTAGGGAGAGAGTAACAGTGAGCGGGAAGATTTGGTGCAATCACCTCTAGTTTGAGGTGGCGAGTAGGTAGCGAGATTGTTGAGAATTAGAAACTCTAATTCTATACAACCGAGAGTAACCAAACCACAAAAAGAAACTAGATATAAGAATAAACAAGATTTATAGAGGTTCACATCAATATGAGACTACATTATCTTCTATCATTACAATACTTCACTATGATGAAAAGAAGTTTATAAAAGGAGTTTACTTTCCCCTTCTAAGCTTCACGACGATCTTACCACGTAGGTCGATTCGCGTATTGTCTCTACATAATGACAATAATTAAGATTCATAAATTAACAATCATCCACTTTAGACTAATTCACCATCAATAGCTCGTTTACACTGGCAACAACTCCTTAATTCTTGAAAAGAAGTCTAAATGAATTTGCACACAACTTTCTATCCTCAATCAAAACGGTCTACATCAATTTGTCAGCTGAATAATGATTCCCTTGAATCTTCTCAACTAGATTTCATCCTCAAAAATCAACCAAATTAAGTCATAATTTGCTAAACGAATAGCACTATGATTATCACAATGTAATTTACTCTTCTCATACTTGTAACCCAATTCTTTGAAGAAATACTGCAACAATATCATCTCTTTGCTAGCTTCGATCACAATAGTGAAAAGGAAAACTATCTTCTTTAGTTTAGACATCCAACTAACTAACTATGTCTTATATGCTGGGTAATGTCAAAGGTACTAACAATGTGACCTGTGACCTAACCCGAATGTATGTGAAATGGAAGTACTAACAATGAATAGATCTGTGACCTGAGCTGACTGAAAATGTGACATGAGTGTTCTAACAATGAATATCTGTGACACTATTCAACTTACTGACTCGAGTGTACATGTGTATGCATATGTGACCTGTTAGGCAGAGCATGTTATTAATTGAATCTCTTTGTGTTGTAACATATTATCTGTGTGTGATTTCTTTCAGTACAAGTGTTTAACACTGTCTGCAATTTCAATACAAGTCTGGCAATTCATAATACTAGAAGATAGGTGGTTTCCTGGGAAAATTACAACCTCAGTCAGTAAAAGTGTATTGAATACCATTTAGATGAGCTTAAGCCGACTACAGAAACGTATATTTACGGGAACCTATTTTGCTCATTTTCTAGAGTTTGACGAGATCATGATACAACCAAAACTGATTCACTTCTTCCTTCTGAGATAGGTTCATTAGCCAAACAATGAAGAAATGTGGTTTTATGTGACTGGAAGGTATGTGAGGTTCTCCATCTCCGAGTTCTGTTTAGTCACAGGCCTGAGATATCATGGGGAGTGTGATACACAAATGTATGATAGTAGAACATCAAAACTGAAGGGAAAATACTTTTCTCATGTGGATATTGTAACACATGAAGACATCAAGTCCACATTCTTCTCTGCGTGTCAAATGCTGGACTTGGATCTTGTCGAAGCTCTACCGGATGACGACGTTGCTAGGATGCTGCGTAGTATTTCCTCACTGCTTATCTTTTTCCTAGAGATTACAAGAAAGTTGTTGACAACTACTTGTTTGCCCTAGTTGAGGACTTCGATGCAATGAACAAATTCCCAAGGAGAAAATTATTATTTGACATTACCTTGGGTTCATTGAAAGATGGGTTGAGTAGGAAAATCACACATTACAAGCTACGAGGTATGTTGTTAGCCTTCTAAGTATGGATTTATGAGACTTTTCAAAGAGTAGATGGAATTGTTGTCACACGAACATCGAAGACGCATCCCCGAATCATGAATTGGATGGTAGATGAACAACCTTTTACTGTTAAGTTGGAACGAGCTGACTGCTCACAAATGTTGTGTAATATATCAGTAAGTCTTGTTACCAGTATACTGAACTATTATGATTACACTTTTGCATATTGTGATTTATGACCTAGATCCATCGGAAATGGAAATGGCCATGCCATACATGAACAATGTCCAGTACAAGAAGCCGATTCAACTGGACTTGTCAAGTGAGAGCCGTAGGAAAAAGAGGACAAAGAAGTCAATCGATAATGCTAGTACTAGTGGAAAGTCAGTGATCCTCTTAACGGATAGCAGTATGGAGCAGCCTAATGTATTGAACGACGATGATAATTTCGTTGATCCTCTACCACGACGTCAAGAGTCACCCCCGTGAAAAATTTCCAATTGATGAAGCACCATTAGTTGCCCATAACTCTCCAGATGAACCACACCCTCACAGGCCACAATGGGTTGATGTAAGTTGATGTAATTATTTTTTTGAAATCAGGGGACACAGATCAATGTCTTAGGTCACATATTACCTTTTTGAAATCATTGGTCACAGATCACTGCGATGAAGGTCACATATCCACCACATTTTCATCACAGAACAAATTTTCCTAAGTCACATATAACCTTTTTTTCCATAGAATTGATCACACTTGTGATGTTATGGTGTTATGGCAGGCATGTGATGATTTGAGAATGGAAATATGCAAACTACAGTCGGACAATAAATTGTTGAATAGGGAGCTCGCTGTCATCAGGTCACAGATGTCATGCTTCAATGATGTGCACTCAACAAAAATGAACTTCATTGTCCAAATGCAAGGTGTCCTAAAAAGTGACTTGATGGAGATTCGAACTAACATGCTGTTTCTGTTCGAAACTGTGTTAGCAATGATATCTAGTTCAATGGAAGAGATCATGCGACAGTTTAGTAAAAAAGCAAAAGATCAAGGTACAGAAGTTCAGGGAGTTGGAGACAAGGGAACTCAGGTTGATAGAGGCTCTGATAAGACCGACGAGGCACTTACATGATATTTACAAATTTCATTTTACACACCATGGTCACATTGACATGCCAAGTATTCTTCTTCATCTCCAAGATACAGGTGCAAACAGTGCAGCCAAATGTTAACAGGAAAGGGGAAGGTAAGATAGACCCAAGTGAATACATTGATACCCCCTGTAGTCTTCAACACCATCGTTCGATTTGGGGATCGGATATACACAACCTGATGACGTACACTCTGAAGACATTTAGAAACAAGTAGATTCCGTTATATCTAACGTGATGATGGCAACCAAAAGTGTTCAGATAGAGGTATTCACAAAGCCATTATTCATTCTGTACTTGTCACAGATCAACTACATGCCAATCATAGTAAATTTTAACAGGTCACAGATCATTCAAAACTTAGTCACATGTAGTTTCTATGTACGATATGAAACTTAACAAGTTTTTACAACAATATACAGGGATCCACGTGTCCTGAAGGTCATTTTGAGTTACTAGTCAAGCAGGTTTCGAGGCCAGTAAGGATATTGCAGTCTCCTTTCGTTGTTGGAGAATATAAATTGTTCAAACATGATGATCGTGTCATAGTTTTTGAGCATTTCAAAGGCGACGTTAAAGAAGTTGACAGATCTACGTTCTTGAGTTGGTTCCAGAAGGGTTTCAAACCCAAAAACAAGCACGTACAATTTGTATATATCTGAGAATGTAACTTAATAAGTAATGGTAGTGCAATACTCAATATTCAATTTCATGTTTGCAAGAAAAAGCTTAACGGCGATGATGACAAAATCAAACTTGCATTCGTCATCGATTCATTTTTAGTTGGTCACAAGTCATGATTCTACAATCTTATACACACAGAATTGTCTTTGAGTAGCATGGTACAATAAAACCACATTATGCTCTCACATATCCACAGAGTGGCCACATATTTTAACTTCTTCACTTACATGTCATTGTTGGTTACACTTTCACATATTGGTCACATATTCACATGTTGGTCACATTTTCATAGATTGTTTACTTTTCTTACATGTCATTGTTTCCTTTTTTTTTTTTTTTTATAGCAAATGGATGCGTGCTTCTACTACATTTACTAGCTTACAAAACATGGCAAGAATGTAAAGTTTAGAGCCACAACAACAAATTCTTGCTTTCAACATAAAATAAAAGATATATACCTTGCTTTTATGAAGGATCCCTAAGTTCTGATGTCAAAGTTGAGCTTTGTTAATGTTATAGCTGGTCACAACCTACCTTTAAGCATACATTGGGCTGATGTTGACCATATATTCATGCCAATGCTGCCCTTATGAATGCTTTGGGAATTTCAAAAAAGGACCCTGATTACCACGGACCTAACTCCAAGGAATTAAAGGTGTACATCAACAGTACGCTACCTCAGTAGACAAATGAGTAATTCTTGTGACATATTATATGTGATTAACTTGATAATTTTTCAATCATAATATTATTTTTTCACTGTTATATTGTAGTCATGATTGTGGGATATTTGTGACTTTGTACGCTTTATACATCCTCCATAACGGACGATGTTCCATTCCGCATAGATTCGATATTAACAAATGTAGACTGGGTATTGCTGTACTACTCTACAAATATCGGGAGATGTACGTGAAGCATGTAAATCAAGGTTTAATGGGAGAGGGGATGGTTATGGAATGACATCATATGTGTTAAGGAAGATGAAATTTTAATTGGTAGCTTTTGTGATCTGTACACACATGGCTTTTTGTATTTTTGTCGTTGTTTCTCAAGTGGATTTGTCTTGTTGCTATGTACATGAATTTTTTCGTGTGGAATATATAATAGCATCACTTTTCATGTTATAAAATATAGTAATTGTTTTTCACAGAAATTGTTTTGGTCAACTGTTATTTTTTGGTCACAGGTTATTTTAGATTGATATGCATATGGATGGTCACATTTGATTGATGGTCATAGATCATGAGTTGCTTTGCACTGGATCGTCGATTACGTAATTACAAGTAGTTACTGTACATGATCTTTTATTGTTAGAAAAAGTCACAGATAACATAATTCAGTGGCACGTAACTTTTTTTAAAGCCAAATTTAATCCTTTTTGCATTATTGGTCAGGGATAACTCTATTTTGTATCACATGTCATCACATTATGTCCCAAAACTGTTTGGTGATCACACGTATTTATTATTGGTCACATTTTACTAGCATTTAGGTCTCGTGTTCATCATATTTTAGTCACAGAGTTGTTAGGAAGTCACATGTCAATTTTTTTGCCAAACCATTAGTCGCATGTCTTTGAAGTTTGATCACATGCATGTGCATGATTCATCAGGTCACAGTTCCGAATTAGCAATAACCATATAATGCAATAACAGAGGTTATGTGTTTGACATCAGGTCACACATGTCCTACTGTGTGAGGAATAGGGATTCACAGCCAACTAGATTACATAACTTTTGACCGTGTCTAAATTATTGTATTAACAAACAAATACTTAAATAAGATTTTGCACACTTGAAAAAACAATGGTAACATATAACATCAATCTTGTATTACAAATGAATGTTTCAAAAATAAAATGGTCACATATATTCTGTGCTATTAGAATGTATTGCATTGACTAATATCAGCTCAATGAGACAAGACTGGAGCATCTCCTACGGTTGTGATCATGTCTTTCACAACGCCCACATTTCACTGATGGTTTTCCTTCTCTGGATGATCTCTTTCTCTTCTCAGTTGGCCTTAAACATCTTCGTTTCCGGTTAGGAGCTAACACAATTTCATGTAGCACTTCTTTAGGCAATGTCCATTCGCTTGGATTTCCAACAGGATAAATAGAGTTTTCGTATGCGTTCAAATATGCATCATGTGTGTAATAATAAGAACAGAAAGTATATGGATCCCTTTTTATATTTGCAATTACAGCCAATGTGTGTGGATATGGTAACAAATCAACTTGTAGCATCCTGCATGTGCATGTCTGTTTCTCAATATCAACAACGAAAGTTGTCTTGTCACCGCTAACAGAAAACACTGATTGGTTGGAATTGGAAACCTGGGAGAATATAATCAAATGGACAGATTACATCAATTCAAACAAGTATCTACCAAATAGCCACATTCTTGATGTGTATGTCACAAATTATATATCTGAGCAGGTCACAGTTGCATAGTTTAATGTCACAGAATTATATGGAAAGGTCACATGCAGTTGCAGAGTTTAATGTCACAGGATTGTATAGGAAGGTCATATGCAGTGCATTCAGATCACATATACAAAAGGCGTATAAGTATACAAACATATGTTATAACAGATGTGCATTTCAAGTCACATTAGTTCATGTAGCTATCGTATGAGTAGTTGTGATCATCAAAATTAAAACTTACCATCAAATTCTTTAAATCTATACTCGTTTTTTTGATCTCGTTCTCATATTTGCTTGTCAACTTTGTGAAAGTACCTTATGCGTTGTCTCTGTGTTTACAAAATCAGTTTTCCATAGTTTGCCGTAATGACTTCAACAGGGATACGATTGGATAATTTTTGGCTACCTTCGTGATTGCATAGACTAATTCCACGATGTTCGATGTCATTGTTGAATACCTATTTTTTGGCATATGGATTCGTGACCACTTTTCAGGTTCAACCTCAGCCTGCAAACATGTATTGCATTTAGTAATATCATATAACTACAATATGTAACAATTCCAATGTTTTGTGGAAAATTACATTCAAGTACTACAATACCAGGTAAGTGCTAATCTTCTTATTCATTGTGTCTAGTTTCCGCATATGATATTTGACCTCTTCCAATGTGTAAGCTCTGACAGTTGAATTGAAAGCTTGTGTAATGCTTTGTCCAGATTTTCCAAAATGTGACTTCAAGTTCTACAGCAAATGACATGAACATATACCATGATAGGTTCCCGGATACACATGTTATATTGCATTCTTTATACTATTATGTCGATCCGATACAAAACATAGCCCTTCTCTGTTCTCGTACGCCTTTTTTAGGTTTTCTAAAAACCATCTCCAAGATTTGTCGTTTTCATTATCTCCAATCCGAAATGCAAGAACGATTACACTGTTACTTGCATCTTGCGTACACGTTATGAAAAGAGTACCTCCGTAGTGACCATTTAAGTACGTACCGTCAACCACAATTACAGGACTACAATGTTTCCAGCCACGTATTTATGCACCAAGTGCCATAAAGTAATACCTAAAGCGATTGTGAATGTCAACCTCCAAGTTAGTGATCGTCCTAGGATTCTTTTGTCGAAGCATGTAGAAAAAGCTTGGTATATTACCAAATGACTTGGTCGGATAACCTCTTATCATCTTCAAGGTTTGCTCGCAAGATCTCCACGCTTTCGAATAATTTAAATAAACCCCATAAGTATGCAACATATCACTGCATATATTCTTCGGTGTGTATATAGTACAAGATGACGCATACTTGGTGTTAAAGGACACAACTATAGCTGATAATTGTTTGTGTGACCCTAGTACTACATTTGATGCACATGTGTGACCACCAATCTTCCAAATCTTAAACAGTTCCATTTTACCCCATCTCGATGCTCTGCATATCCAACTACATACCTCTTGTGAGCATCTCACAACATATTCTTTCTTGTCTGATTGTTCCACCATAAACTCAAACATATTCTGTATGGTAAAAAGTGATAGGTTTAACTTTAAAATATCTTTATCACAGAAGACTCTTCCTTCTTCCACCTCTCTAGCATCTATAACATGAACAACTGTGATTTCGTTGTCATAAATGTGACCTACATTTTCAATTGCTACTTCGTAGATATCTGATGCGATATCCTGCAACGTACATAACTCACCAACAGCATGTGGATTAACTGGCAGTGTGATAGATGGTTTATCTACTTCTGCCTATGCAATATCAATGATTAATGGGTATTTAGTAGGTTCGCGCTCCATATCCTTCAGCGTGATGTAAGAGAGCACATTGCTATCATTTCTGATTCTAATTGGAGGCAAATATTCATTCAGTATGTACTTCAATGAGACTACTACCTTTTTATGATCCAAATCGAACTCCTTCATAACTGTGTCCACAAGGTTTACATATCTGCAATTTCGATCTACCAACGTCAAAGAAGTTTGAGATGCATGTAACAGGCACACGTGCAAGTACACCATTTCTGCAAATTAAATTTACATTTTTTAGTAGTCTAGTGATGAAAGTGTAACGATTGCCACAGTTTGTGTATAAACTCCTAAAATAATAGGCATGCACGTTTTCCATAAATTCACAAATAAATGCATGGTAAAAACATAAATCACAGGTTAGGCATCACAATTCATATACACGAAGTATGTGCATTAGTCACATATACAACATGCACTTAATTTTACCAGTATTTTTATTCAGGTCACATTTTTGGAAGTACGTCATGTAAGAATGAATATGACTGCATATCACATGGGTCACAGATCATGTAACATAATTGTCTCACTCAGATTATGCACAGTAGTTCCATATACTGAGTGACTTAGGTCACATTCTTCAAAAAGTCAATCATGGAGAATATGAATTTCAATATTGTTGAAACACACTTTAATTCATTCATCACACGTATCATATGTGGCATTCATATTACATTACATACAATATGTGCATTGGTCACATAGTCACATATCAGATCATATGTCGAAGCACGTACCTGTACTCTATTTTCAGCGATGATCAGGACTTCTGTAACTAATGTTAGATTTCTTCTGCTGCAAATATGATTGTATTACTAAATCTATAATCGTAGTTTGAAATTCAATGACTATTCTTGTCTCCGGCGATTGTATTTGATTTACCGAACACAATTCCGGAGTATGTGACTCGACGTTTCAATCGCAAGTGAGATTGTGAAATTTCTCACCGAGATTAGTGATAACTGTTACCTGCTTCGTTATCGTCGGCGGTCGGAATATGTTTTCACGGAGAGAATGCAGAATACCAGCTGAATTTTTTAATTTTGGGATGTCGATTTTGTACTGAAATGAGTCATAATACAGAAGGGAACTAGGCATAATTTTAGGAAACGGCTGTATATATATATATAATAGATACCTGACTTTTGAATCTTCAAACTATGCACCTGATATATGCTTCGGTGTATACTTAGTCACTGAACTATGATTTTTTCCTTATGTTTAATTTATTAGATTAATTAAATGTTGGGCTAGATTAAGTTTAAGTTATGGGCCAAGTCCACTTGAAGTTTTATTAATAAGCTGTTGAAGTTGAGAAAAATAACATACATTCATAATCGCACTAGTACAAAAAAGAGAAACCATGTTCTCTCATTCTTGTATCCTTGTATGAATTATCATTGGAGACTTGATCATTGGATAACTATGGTGTGCAAATCGTAATTGTACATGTTCGAAGATTGTTAAAGAAATTCACAGAATTAACTAAATGTATAATTCTTATTATAGTTTTTATCTAAATACAAAGAAAATTCTTGTTATGAATTAAAATTATTTAAATTTTGCTTTGCAGGATTAAGTGAATTCCCAGCTAGAAGTGGGCATGTAACATTAAACAACTGGATAGCGGATGCATAAATTAGGGTTGGAGAGATTTATGTCAATCAGCTCAAAGATAGTTCATATGTTGAGGGGCATGGGGCCCTCAAAGGCACCTAGCACGGATAGTTTGCATGTCCTATTCTATCAACTTCATTGGATCCCAATTGTCTAACAACTACCATCAACATTTCTAGAAGTGCAAAATAATAGCAAGACAGTTGGCCCAATCACATGAATATAGTCTAAATTCCTGAAGAGAAGTAGCCGAGAAAGTGTTTGACTATGTTATGAATAGTTTTGTAATATTCTATATTAGATTGGTCACTAACACTATTGACAACAAGCCTAGAGACGAATGACCAAATCTTATATTACAGTGTCAATGTACCTTTATATTGGGGTCGACTGATAATGTACTGTGTTATAGCTGCATTTGACCTTTTAAAAACTATGGGTAAGTGGCAAAATAGGAATACAGGTTTATGCTATGTAAATCATGACATGACTTGATAAGTGTATATTTTACACTTATTTGAGCCTTCAAGTTACGTAATGTTTGTAAACGGAATTTCTATTGATTTTGCTTTTATTTAGTATGTTTTTAATTTATTAAAGATGTGGACGGCGACGTGGTAGTGATGTGAGGATAAGAGAGGATGAGAAAAGGGTCAAGAAGATAGAGTGCGATGAAACCAAAGAAAAGAGGAGAAAGTTTAGTTTGGGGACCAAAATGAAATAAAAAAAATAGAAGTTTTGGGACCAATATTGCATATTTCGAAAGTTCAGGGATAAATGCTGCAAAATTTACTATTCAGTATGAACCAGCGTGTTTGCTAGTCTATTTTCTATTCTCTTCATCGTGTGCATGTATCCAATTTAACTTCAGACTGGCTTTTTTCTGTTTTTTAGTTTTTGGCTTATTTTAAGTTATTTTATTTTATTTTATTTTTATCTAGTTTGGATGCTATGCAATACCTAATAAGTATATATATTTCTTTTTCTGGCATAGGATTCGAAAATTTCAAGGAAAGTTAAGGCATCCACCTTGCTGCAAGATGTGTGTCACAATTTTTTCTGTTCTCTATTTTCATAAATCCAGTTCTTTATATCAATATTGATTTGTATTTTGCGTACACAATGATTTGTGGCTAAATTTCTAGTAAAGCTAATAATGTAGCCTAGGGTCAACCTTTGATATTATTTATGAAATTTTGATTTTCAGTTGATAATTGTATATCATTTTTTTTCTTCCTATTGTGTTGATATAATTGGTTTTCTAATCAATAAATTATTAATTTTTGGACGATAATACGTTTATGGAACATAAAGATATACCTATACGGTTATTGCGATCATTAAATGGATTTCTTTGGTATTTAATGCATTTAGTTAGGATTAAATTCACTATGAGATTTAGTAAAGATTTAGTAACTTCACTTACTCAAATAGAATTATTTTTCTCAAGAGAGATTTGTAACATCCTCCGGATTTTCTGTTGATCTTTTGGGAATTTTTCCGGGATTTTATTATAGTTTAAGGGTTTCGTGCTATATTGAATTTTTTTTAATTAGTTTCAAAGTAAACTGTACAATTATTGAGTAGCTATTGCAAACGACAGCAAAGCGCACAACATATGAATAATTAAAAATAATTAGGGCCAATAGAATTTTGATGATCCTTGTATTATTTTTTGATTAAAAAAATAAAATGACTTTTATGCCCCTAGCATCATCCCTATAAATAGGGGCATCTATTTCATTTGAAAATAAGAACCCTCCTAAAAGTCCTCCAATAAGCTAGTCGCTAGCAAGGAATAAGTTAGCAACGGATGAAGCATGAGCCAGTTGTTGCGAGTGAATAGTATTTAAGGTATTAAAGTTATATTTTTTCTAGAGTTAATACTAATTACTCGTACATAAGTCGGAAAAAGTAGATATAGTACAGAAAATACGAAATCATGCCGGACAAGAAATACAAATTTTTAGTGAGATTGTATTTTAGTTTAAACAGTAAGACCCTGTAAGAAGTAAGAACAGTAAAGTGAAGTGTGCTTGAGCTAGAACAATTTTAGGATGGGTGGCCCATGTGAGGTTTTTCCTTGACTTGATTTTACATTAAAGAGAGCTGAAGTGATCTCGTACAATTGGTGATCCTATAGAGTGGGGTCAACCTCTAACCCTAGGGGTGGCAGCCCTGAAGAAAATGCAGATAACATTTTGTAGAAATCTCTAATTTGAGATTATTAAAATTTTATATTAAATTTATTGCAAGATCCCTATTATCGATCTCAAAAAATCTAGTCTCTTCATTTTTTCTACGCGTTGGTTCCCTAATGTCAACATCCACTTCATATGTTTTCATTTCGGGATCCCTTTTTTGGTGTGTTAGTCTTGATTGACCTTTAAATTCACGCTAGGAGGTAATAGGGTCATGATTAATCTGTAAGACCTTTTTTTTTTTTTTGAAAAAAATAATTTATATGCTAACTTAAATACAGAAGTAGAAGAATTAAGCCTCAAACACTAGAATGGAAATGATAAAAGTAATTAAAGGCTCAACTTAATGAAAAATGTAAGCGGAAATATGCTCCAAGATATTCGATTTTGTGATTTTCGGGCTCAGTATAAACCAATCAATATCAAACCATACTCAATCAAAGTTAATGCTCGTAACTCACAATTCATTCACTTCGGTTGTTACTTTCTTGCATCCACAAAGGACACAAGGATTTGATTGCAATATCACAAAGGGAGGAAGAAGGGAGCAACGGATGAATACAAGTGTGCACCAAAAAAGGTTGCCTTACTCTCATTCACTCTATTGCACGCACACTCATAGCCACCGGGGAGAACAAATGGATATATAGGATTAGGTTAGACCACAATTAGGTTGGCCAAGAATATTCCAATAAATGGGCCAACAAGCAAGAACAATACTTAACACAAATGGGTCAACACAAAGGGCATCCTCAAGTGAATTGGGCCATAAGCAATTTTAATTAATAAGCTATTTTCGATGGCCCAAGTTATTTTCAAGTAGAGCCAATCTCTATGGTGTCAATACAAATAACTCTACAACGTTTTAACATCATTGCCTCCATTTATTAATTATTTAAACCCAACAAAAAATATAAAACTGACATTATAATTTTTCTCCTTTGTTCCTTTATTGTGTAGAAGGGATATAATGTTGCTACTAAACACCTCTATATAATTGAAGTATTCAGGTTATAAGTTGATTATATGATTTTATCAATATACATGGTTTCTTATTGGAATGTTGTCATATGTCACCTACATAATGTACAAGATATACTCTGAAAATGCCTCCCGAGGCATAGTTTTGTGGTGCAAAAGATAAAAGTGAGATTATATCACGTCTTGCCGGCAGCTGCAATGTGGGAGTTCAATTCTCGAGACATGTAATTGGACTCTTTGTAGGCGCAGTGTACAGAGAACTCTTGTTCTTTGACCTGTTGGGACACATCCCGCGATTTACCTCACTCACAATGTTCTAGGCGTGGGGCGGTGGGGGCCCTCAAGGTTAGGGTTCAACTTCTTTTTTTTTTTTTTTTTTTTTTTTTTTTTTTTATTAAAGATATACTCTGAAAATCATGTGCACGTGTCTTGGTTATGAGTGGACATGAAAATTTTGTAAAAGAAAGATAAAGTGAACCATGAAGAGTGTGGTGAATACTCAGAAATGACTAATGAGATGATAATATAATAATGAAATTTCCCTACGTGTGTACCTACTATTCACTAAGGTGACAGAAGTCCTACTGTGGCCCTCGACCACTGATTAGCATGATGAGCTTTGTTTACCTACGCCAGGCCTAGTTCGTGATCTATATGCTGGTGAGGTCTCATGTTGTATGGAGTTGATGACTAAAACACATGGATCCTGAGTTGTGATTGAAAATTGTGAATCCATAAACATTGACTGTAATGTGTTTGTTATTGGTAATATTAATTATTGAACTCAAATAGTACATCAAAGTACGACTCAAGCCTCCTGGGATAAAAGACGAATAAACTAAGCTACTGAAGAAAGACAAAATTTTATAAATGAGATGAAAAATCATGTGCAAGCACATGAACATGCATACATCGGTCATGCCATTACTATGTATTCTTTCATATGTCGTTACATTGTAATACTTGAGGTTGTTACAAACTCCCAAATGACAGAACAACTGCAGAGTGTGTACCTAACTGTGGTTCAAACAAATCTGAAAAATGTTACAACTAATTATTAAAAAAATAAATAATAAATAAAATAAACCAAACTATTTAACTTTTGAAAGTAGTTTTTTATATTTTAAAGTGTCAATTTCAGAATGTCCTTTTTTCTTTCTATTTTAACTTAACATACTATATTGTATTGTTTATTAATTAGGTATTTTAAAGTTAAGCTCTTATTTTCTGTACAGTCATATCATATTTTTGATGATTTGAGTACAGTTCTTTCAGAGAGAGAGAGAGAGAATTGGTAGTAAAATTTATTGAATGCATAGAAATTCGATAAAATTTGAAACATAACTATTTGGTATTAGAGTTTTAGATTGAATGGCTCTATAGGCTATCCGGTCAGTGTATACATGTACGATAGTCATTGAATGTTATCGTTTATATGAGAATTAATTGTTGGAATTTGAAAGATGCACATTGATGCAATTACACGACTGGATTTAATTTAATTGTTTCATATATCACCGTATTTGTTCTGCATCTTAAATTGCAACGTCAGTTCAGCTTATGGAA